TTCTTTTTCAGACTAATTTTTTTATTTTGGTTCTATATAGTATTTTTGATGCTGGTTATGAAAACAGTTTGTAATTATTTTTTCTTCCCATTTTTGTGGTTAAGAATAGTATTTCCTCAGAAAGTTTCTAGATGAAATTATTTAGAATGGTACGTATGTAGCTGGTTTTTGAAGGTAAAGTTTTTAGACGAGTATACTCGTCGACGACTGAAAAAAGAACATTTTGTGAAAACGTGTATACACGTTTCTGCTGGGGAAGGGGTTAAATTGGGCCAAGCGCTCCTCCTCCTTTCAGTTAAGCCTGAGGGTATCCTCTGAGCAGAATTCTTGACTTAGTGGTTGAAGACAGTACTATATTCTATTTTATGAAATCTTGGTAGAGAAGGAAAAAAAACAGTTGGTAGTTCCAATCCTGGATGGATATGTAAGATGCAGTTGTCTAAAACAGATTCATTCAGCAATTTTTATGCCAAATACTAAAAATATGAGTAAGACCAAAACTCAAGATTTTAAATTCCTAATTCATGTTAACTATTTCCAACCATACTAGTACAAAATGGCAAGACAAGCAAAAACATGTACCCAAGCACCAACTGAAATTGGATGGAAAATATTTTTGTGCTAAACATAGGAAAAGGAACCAGCAATAAAATTTTAATAACTACCCCGCGGAGTAAGTGAAAAGGCTAAGAGACTCCCTTGGATATTGACATTTTTGTCACTCCCTTTTACACCACAGGGGTTAGTAAAACAGGATTATATACTGCCCTCTGTGACTGCTCACAGAGCTAAGCAGTTCTGTAGAGAATAGTATTTCTATGTTTAAAACAATAAAAATATAATCTATGTTTACATATTACAATAGTTACTATAGTTGCAGAAGAGAATCGGACTGTTATAAATTTTAGCAATGCTAAAGTGTGTGTTTAAATCAAAACAGAGGAGAAATAAGAGAAGTTATAAGAATGCAAATCTCCATCTTTCAAAAAAAAAGTAAACACTGTCTACAGTTAAAGTCAAGGAATATACATATATTAGTATATGAAATAGAGTGGTAATAACTTAAGAACCTTGTAAAAGGGAATCTGGGGGAGGGCACGTATAAAGGACAGGAAAACTGACTCCTTGCTTTGACCCTTCCTGTCAACAGGCTTTATTGTCTTAACGTTGATATTAACATGGCCTTAATGGTTTTGTTTTCTTTTCATTAATTTTATCTACATAGGCTCAGAAAGAGAAAAAATTTTTAACAAAAATAAAACTGCCAGTTTGTCCGGCCAGTGTTGTCAGTGTTGAGCTTCGACCCATGAACCAGGAGATCACGGTTCAATTCTTGGTCAGGGCACATACTGGGGTTTGGGGCCTGATCCCCATTAGGGGACATGCAGGAGGCAGCCGATCAATGATGCTTCTATTTCCCTCTCCCTCTCCCTTCCTCTCTCTGAAATCAATAAAAAATAAAAATAGAAAGAGAGAGAGAGGAATGAAAGAAAGAAAGGAAAGAAAGAAAGAAAGAAAGAAAGAAAGAAAGAAAGAAAGAAAGAAAGAAAGAAAGGAAGGAAGGAAGGAAGGAAGGAAGGAAGGAAGAAAGAAAGAAAACTGCAGTTTGGATAGTAGTTAAAATAGACTTCTAAACATGCAATTGGGGTGGCCTGAAACTGTCTGGTTGAAGGTTTTCAATATTCACAGCACAAGTCATTTTTATGAAAAATATGTCCCAGGGACTGACTCATCGCTGTAGAATATTGAAGCAAACATCTCAGTAAGGTGAAAATGGGAGATTAAACATTTATAGACAGAAGAATAAAAACTGGGGTTATATAGAAGAGATAAAACTGCAGAGAATTATCTAAAATGTTATGCTTTGGGGCATACACCTGATCAGCAATCAGTGATAAAGAAGACTTTATATCACCCCTTCCCCAACACCCCACGTTTCCTTTCCTAGTAGCTGGGAGGATGCCAGATACGATTATTTACAGTAAAATATCTAAAGGAGAAGATTCTCCGTGAGAAGTGACTTTATAGATGGGAGGCCTTGGAATACAGATTTTCTAATTCAGATAAGAAGTTTCCAAAGGAAGTTCTACCTGTGGGATATGTGAACTTCTAATAGAGCTCTGAAATAGATTTCTGAAATAGATTTCATGGCAAAATTTATAAGTTTTAATAAGCTTGTTTTTGAGACATTTGGCTTTGACTTTTATTAATAAAATGAGGATACAAATGCTCAGAACCTTGACAAGGTAAGACCCAACAAAATGGGGTAGTTCCCTGCTAAGTGAAAACATCTGTGGAACTGTTCACCCATTCACAGAACCAATTTTTTTTTAAATGTGGTCTATGTTCCTAGCATTCTGATGGGTACCAGATACTAAGATAAACATGCCATGGAGCCTACAGAGAGTGAGCACAAGGAACTCAGAAACCAATTAAAGGCAAAGATGTGAAGAAAAAAATTCTATGAGATAAATGTCATCTATACTAATAAGGGGGTAATATGCTAATTAGAGCGGATGTCTTCCAGACAACCTTCTAGACCTACTTCCGGACAAAGCTGCAGTGGCTGTGAAGGGCCCAGGCTCAGCCTGGCAGTGGCAGCAGCGGGGTAATGGGGGCGGTGCCTTTCCCTGATCCACCAAGTTGCCTCCTGCAGAGGGAGGCCAGACTGTGGCTTAGGCCAGGGGCCAAGTAGGGGAGCAAGTTAGGGGTGATCAGGCCAGCAGGGGGACAAGTTAGGGTCGATCAGGCCAGCAGGAGAGCAAGGTAGAGGTGATGAGGCTGGCAGGAGGGCAAGTTAGGGGCAATCAGGCAGGCAGGCAGAGGGGTTAGGGGGTGATCAGGCAGGCAGGAAGGCTAGCGGTTAGGAGCCAGTAGTCCCAGATTGTGATAGGGATGTCCAAAGGGTCCCAGATTGGAGAGGGTGCAGGCCGGGCTGAGGGCCCCCACCATTGCACAAATTTTGTGCACCAAGCCTCTAGTAATAGCAATAATGAGGCATAGGTTTGCTGGGAATGGGGAGGGGTGTAATAAGCAGAGTCCTAGTTAATTAGAGAAAGAGCAATGACATATTTAATGACTCAATTATATAATTCTTAGATATAAGAATCTACTGAGCACTTATCCCAGTGATTAATGCTAGCTTATCCTATATAATAAAAAGCTAATATGCAAATTGTCCCCTCGGGAGTTTGACCGACCAGGAGTTCAACCGCTCACTATGATGTGCACTGACCACCAGGGGGTGGCACGGAATGAAGGAAGGCCCCGGCTGGCAGCCAGGCAGGGAAGGCCCCGATCGGCCCTGATCACCAGCCAGGCCTAGGGATCCTACCTGTGCACGAATTTCGTGTACCAGGCCTCTAGTATTATAATAATTCACCAAAAAATTTTAGGAATCTCATATATACATATACAAACTTGCATAGAAGAAATTGACAAAAACATACAATAGTTCAAGGAAACTGGCATTAGACTGCTCAATTGCAGAACTGGAAACAATGATATTGAAGCAAAACCATCAAAATTCTTCCCAGTCTAGAAATCTATACCCAGCCAAACTAGCACTCAACTACAAGCCCAGAATAATGGCATTTTCATACCTTCAAAGTCTGAGAAACAGAAAATCACTAGATCTTTGTTTTAAGCCTTCTAGCACTATTTGACTAATAGCTTTACTTTATTTTGAAACTATAGTTCCCACACATTTTCAACTGTTACCTTATTTTGGTCTGCAGGCATAAAAGTACATTTTCTAGACTCAGTAATTGTGAATGGGATGTACCCTTGGTTACCACATTCTTCCCCTAATAAAATATGAGATCATGATATTAAAAAAATCCCACAAAACAATAACCTTTATTCTTATTAAATATTTTAGAACAGTCATAAATATCCTATGAAGGCATATAATATCACCCCTTGCTTAAAGATGAGCAAATTTAGGCTTAAAGAGGTGACTCTCCAAAGGTGTCACAGCCAACATAAAGTAGTAGTAGAACTCAAATCTATCTCTAGGGCTATGTTCCGGAGTCTCCTCTTGACATGTATGTAAGAACTCTGTGCACAATATTTATGGCTTAATGTTTTCATATCTCATTCTTCCTTATGCACACAGGAAACTGTTTCCTTGCAAACCATCAAACACACTGTTATCTTTTTTCTCCACCCTAATGACAACCTAGCTATTCATTTCACCTCAAGCACCTGAGCACTGTAGCTTAGCTCCTTGCTTTTCTCCAGGCAATCCTAAAGCACTGGAATATAGGTTCCAAATAAACACTGACTTATATACTTAGAGCTCTGGCAAAAGGCAAATTCTAATTATTCATGAGAAAGAAACTTCTTGAGCCCAGCCTGTGTGGCTCAGTGGTTGAGCATCAACCCATGCACCAAGAGATCAACAGCTGGATTCCCTAGTCAGGGCACATGCCTGGGTTTGATGTTTCTATCTCTTTCTCCCTCTCTCTCTAAAATCAATAAAAAAAGAAACTTCTTGATTTTTTTTCTTAACCTAAGAGTAAGAAGGAAAACAGATAATTAGACAAAAGGGACTTCATATGCTACATATAGCAGGAAGGCACCTAATGTATTTTACATGTTCATAATGATCCATCTGGCTTTTTTTCTATACTGTAAAAGGAAAAACACTCAAGAATAATTACTCCTCCTAGTTTGCCCCCCAAAATGTATTAATAAAAAATATGCTTTAAAATTTAGTACACAACGAAATCATGAACACAGCTTCCCTTCCATCCCCTTTTCTAAAGCAAACAGAGACAAGAAAATTCCCAGACACACATGCACTCAGACTCACACACATGTCTGTGATCTTGGACTCATTGCCCCTCCTCAACTTCACCCTCCATTAGACTAATGGATCTGAACAGGCACTGTATGAAGAGGTTACAGTCCTAACTGAAAAAAACCCACTGTACTCTAGGTGACTTTGTGATCTGAGTATTGCAAAGAAATAGAGTAATAACAATCTAGCTACTTACTCCACAGTATCGGTCACCATTAAATATCTGAGGCGGCAGAGGGTTGCCCTGAGCGGGCTTCTTTTCTGGGGGCACGTTTTTGTACATCCACTGCCTCTGTTCTTCTGACATTGTGATATCCACCTCCTCAAACTCTATCTTGTTGGCTTCCAGAAATCTAACCACATCTTGCTGCTTCTTCTTTATCTAAAAAGAGAAGACAAATAAGGAGAAATGCTCCTCTGAAACAATATGTATATATTTCCAAATTGATACCAAAAAAAGGCGATTTACATAGGCGCCATGTACTGTCCACTCTGTGGATACCAGCAGAGGTCTAAGCAAGTCCTGACACAGGAATTTCTTCACCTAGACTCCCCAGAACTCTGGGGCACAACTCAGATTGCCTGAAAAAGACTAGGTAAGGTGAGATTCACACAGTTCTAAGAACCTATATTAACTATTTTAGGTTAATATGTGAGCACCTAAACCCTCATACATTCTCAATACTAGGATACATCAAAGACACTCATACAGCTTCTTTCTATCCATACCTCCCTGCCCTGCACATATACTAATAGATAATGCGCGCACACACATACACAGAGCATTTATTGCTGGATTATAATCATCTACAGCTTAATTGGTCTTTTCTTTCACAGAGTCGCACTAGGTAAAATAGCTGGATGTTGCCTGGCCAATGTGGCTCAGTGGTTGAGCACCGACCCATAAACCAGGAAGTCTGGATTTGATTCCCAGTCAGGGTACATGCCTGGGTTTTGGGCACGATACCCAGTAGGGAGTGTGCAGGAGGTAGTCAACTGATGATTCTCTCTCATCATTGATGTTTCTATCTTTCTCTCCCTCTCCCTTCCTTTCTCTGATATCAGTAAAAACAAACAAAAAAATAGCTGCACCTTGTTCCTTTAACTCAACAATATTTCATGAATATGGTCCCATCATTAAAAGTTTTCAGGAGTATGGCCTGGCCGGGATGGCTCAGTGGATGAGCATCTACCCATGAACCAGGAGGTCACAGTTCCATTGCCAGTCAGGGCACATACCCCAGTTGCAGGCTCAATCCCCAGGGCGGGGCATGCAGGAGGCAGCAAAGCAATGATTTTCTCTCATCATTGATGTTTCTATCTTTCCCTCTCCCTTCCTCACTGATAAAAAAAAAGAAAAAGAAGAAGTAGAAGATGGAGGAGATGTTGGGGAGGAG